AACTAACAATCCCCTCCATTCTACTTCTAAAAATAAATGGACATCTAATCTGATCTACAAGGTATGTTGGACATGGAGTCCAATCCCCTCTCCAATCATTCCAAATAAACACCTCCTATATGCTCACATAAATGACCAAATTTAAAATTTTATACAAAATTATTTCATATTCACAACACAACACACATAATTGTGAATGTTCTTGAATAAAAAAAAAAATTGAATTAAAAAAAATAATTGTGAATGTTCATTCTAATTGTCCAATCCATATTTTTGGGAGGAAAAAAAAAACAAATGCATTATAAGGCCCAGTTTTGCCGTACCGTGCCTTAACCCATGAAACAAAAACAATCCGGATAAGGCCAAAAATTGGTCAGTGTCGAACCAGTAAAGGTCCATGGCATGCCAAACCCTCCATTTATTTTATTTTTATTTTGAAAAAATTAAAAAAAAAAATTCAGGATTGTAACAAAATAAATTTTAAATTTTATTAATTTAAACATTAATCTTTTGATTTGTTTTCAATCTAAACCATTTGTTTATTTTTTTAAAATAAAATCGACAGAAAATTAGATATTTTAGTCATTAAACTCGATGCAAATGAGTATGTTAGACATTTTATGTATATCTGTTTTGAGTTTAATTAGGGGTGATCGCGGTTTGGTTGCGGCCGGAAAACCTCCAATCTACCATCTGTTTGCCGGATTGGCAAATTGAAAAAAATCAATCTGCATCCGTCCGCCGAATTGGCGGATGCGGATTGAATGGATTGGCGGATAGATATGAATTGGTTGGCGGTTTAAACTTTTATAAATTTTGAACATAATACAACAACTTGTCAATATTTTTTTTTGGATAACAATCTAACTCAATATAACCAAAAATTATTAAGTAAATTGTCAAATGCCAATAATAAATACATATAAAAAAATCATGCATTATCAAAACTATTTCATTACTTTTTTTTTTAATTCAAAAACTATTTAATTTGATTTTTTAAAAAAATGACAAAATTAAGTCTTATATATTTCACACAAAAATACCAAATATCAACACTTTCCATTTGATAAAAAGATTTTTAAATTGAAAATACAACAGAATATCTAAACTTTTTTTTAATCGAAAACACAAACAAAATATGTAAACAAATTGAAAACACAAAATCTTACAAATTATTAAGGGTGCTCGCAGATCAGCAACCGTTCGCTCTTCATCACGCATCCGTCCAAAATACAGTAGATCAGTTCGGTTCGATCAGTTTGGACGGATCGAAATATCCGCTGAGCACCCCTAAGTTTAATGATTAAAATATCTTTTTTTTTCATCGGTTTTATTTAACAAAAATAGGTAAATGGTTTAAATTGAAAACAAATTAAAAGATTAGATTTTAAATTGACAAAATTAAAACTCATGATTTGTTTTGTTATAAAGGTGAAATCCTGAATGTTTTTTTTTTATTACCAAATACTTACTTTATAATTCATTTTTTTTATTAATCATAGAAATATTTTTTATTATTATTATTATTATTATTATTATTATTATTATTATGGCTCGAAGTGAGTAACTTGTGTCCACTATGTCGCTTCCAATTGCCTAATTGAGGTGGTTTATTATTATTATTATTTTATTATCAGAATATATTTATTTTCATTCATGCGAACCAAACAAAAAGTAAAACATTTTAAGGGGAATCTACTAGTTAGTGAATTTTTTAAAACTAAATTACTAATTGATGAAATTTTTTGTCACTTCATATTTTAATATTAGTAAAATTTATCATTAATTTACAAATATATGTGTATATATATATATATATATATATATATATTTTAATATGACATGTATTTTCCCCACATTTTAGGAAAATGTTTGGGAGCTCTAAACTATGAGCTCTATGGGATGGGCTCCACCCATTGATGTGATGTTTTGGCTTTTTTTTTTTTTTTTTTGGTTTTTGAATTTCCACTTCATTAATGTTCAATTAGAGCTCCAAAATTAGTTGGATGAACCATTTGTTGCACACTTTTAACATCTGATAGTTCTGGTTATCAAAATCAACACTGGTACAATTCATGTGAATTTTAGCCATGAAAAAAGATTAACAATGTATTTGGTTGGGGAATTTGGGGAGGGATTTGGAAAAGAAAAGGGAAAAGGTGTGTGAAACTATGTGAAATGTAGGTATATTTTTTTCATATTTCACCTATCTTTTCTATTTTCCTTTCCAAATCCCTCCTCAAATCCCCCAACCAAACACAGCATAAGAGCTCTAAATTAAGAGTTTTAATAGCTCTAATTGATATATGGGTCTTATGTGATGTGATATTTTGGCTTTTTTATTTTTATTTTTATTATTTTAATTTTTCACATCATTAGTGCTATTCTAGAACTCTCAAATTAGAGGGATGTATCATTTTTATTTTAGCCATTTACCCCATGAGACAGTTATTGGGATTCCAATTGATTTCAATCCCCATTGACAAATAGGGGTAGTTTGGCATCTCCTAAATAATTTATCTTTTTATCTTTTTTATCTTTTTTTCATTACATTACCTTTCTATTTTTTTGTACATATTTTCATAAAAAATAAAAAAATACACTTATTTAGATTATCTAAAATAATCCCATACTAAGGCCTCGTTTGGGAACCCTCATTTTTAGCCAAAAAGTCAAAAAGTTACTAAATTAGCCAAAAAGCCAACAATCCATACCAAAAAGTCAAAGGTTCTATTTTCTCTTTACTTTTTGCACATCTTTTCGTAAAAAGCCAAAAAGTCATCCCAAACATATTATTTTTTTTAGCTCATATTTTAACTAAATAGTCAAAAAATTACTAAATTAATCTGTTCCCAAATGAGACCTAAATATCAAACCACATAAAATAGTGGCACCATCAAAAACATAATATCAACTTCATGATGTATGTGATGTATCATCTATCTATCCCCCCATTAGCCCAATGGAGGACCCAAGGAAAAGCAAAACATTTGGTCTCATGGTAACCAAAACGTTGTATGCATATGGACCCATTTGTTAAATTACCTTTGATATTTTGTAAAAAAATTTATTTCTTAATTTTGTGGCAAAGCAATTTATCATGGTGATGATATATTACATATCGAAACTTATATGGTATGGTCGTGATTTTTTTTTTTTAGTTATCGAGCTAATCATGTATATATATATATATATCAGTTGTGAATGGGATTATAAATTAATGTATATCACAAATTGTTCGATATTTAAAATCTTAACGAGAGACAAGAAAATTGTATGTATTTTGTGTTGATCAATAGTGCTATATATTTTTAGAGAAAGATCACCTTCTAGACCTGGTATAGACTGAGGTGGTCCAATCCAATTTGTAGGATTGAACATGAGTCCTAAAGTGTAGGTTACTTTTTTAAAAAATCAATAAGAATAATTTGATAATTGTAATCATATGGTTTTATCATATTAATGTGTATTTTTAAATAATAAAAAAAACTGATATGACAAAATCGGATTATTTGTAATATAATAAAAATTTAATTTTTTTTCTTAAAAAAAGAGTAAAAAGTCAAATAAGTTGTTTGTCATCATTTAAAAAAAATTAAATATCATATCAACTTTTTCAATTATGAAAAAGTAATTTTTTAGTGACTTTCTACCCACTATATTTTATCTTTTGAAAAAATTAAGATGTCGCTAAAAATACTAATTTGAAACATCTCTTAAATTAATCTAATGACAACCTACAAAACAAAAGATCATCATCATCACAGTAGAACTCGTGATAGGTGCTATGAGTCAGATCCGACCCCTTCACACTGTAGAGTGGTCAACAACTATATATGCATATTTTTTTGAACTTTTTTTGAAACTTAAGTTTGTGGCAAAGCAATCATGGAAACTTTTATTTGATAACACACCCACTTGAGATCTGGTCTGTATTTCCTGCCTTCGCAAGCAAACATTCATCTGGAAGGAACACACTATCATCTCATTCTCTCTCTCTCCAATTTTAAAGAAAAATCTAAGACTAGACATGCACTATTCACTTCTTCTAACTATAACATAATTGCAAACTCACCAACCTCTCATTGAAAAGGTTGCTAATTAGTTTAATTTCTAAGTAAAATAGCTCCCTCTCACCTAACTAGGACTGTAAAAGAAAACGATGAAACGGAATTAAACTGATTGCTTAAGGTCTGGTCCAAATTTTAATTTTAAATCTTTATACTAATTGAATCAACCAAAATATTATATTTAAAATACTTTTTATATTCTAATTTTGTGAGTATTATAAACTAAATGAATAATAATACATGTTTTGTAATAAAATTTAATAGGGGAACATTTATTGAGTATCCTCGCCATCTCTTTTCATTGTTCATTTATTCTCAATGTGAGATTCTATTTTTTTTAATAAAATTCTTGAAATCATTTGAAAATTATTTATTTATGCTAAATTAAAAAAATCAATAAATCTATTGATTTTTCTTATAAAATTCTTGAAATCTTTTGAAAATTCTTTATTTACGCTAAATTAAAATCAACAAAATAGAATTGTATGTGATTAGTTATATTCCTCAAGTAACATCAAAATATTCGATTCAGTATTAAATTTTCTCTTAATCGGGACTGGGTATTTTGATAATTACTTGAGATTAACCACTCAATTGCACATCTATAACTTTCGAGTTTTTGCATTGGTAACTTGTTACCTTAATTTCTATATATTTATAATTGAGGAAGAGATGATTATATCTGCATTTTTATATCTTTATGACCAAAGTAAAAAACTATGCAGTCATGGGCAAAACCTTAACTTTGAGATGAATCTTTTATTTTCGAATAATATTAGGAATTATAAAAAAAAAAAATCATGATTTTACTTGTAATTTTTATTCGTGTTTATGTTTTGCATCCGACTCATTCTAATTAATTATATGTAAATTCCTAACACACCTAACATCACACACACTCTCTTTCTACGTCCATAAAAGCCCTATACCATCCCACCAACATCATACAACCTTCAAGGACCACCCTCCATTGTCTCTCTTCCAAGCAACATACCCACCACAAACAAAGATGAAACTACTCTTCTCTCTCCTTCTCCTATTTCTCTTCCTCTCCCATCCCACCACCACCCAATCCCAGTCCCCAGCCCAGGCTCCGGCGCCACCCGGGCCACCGGACCTCATCAAAATCCTCCAAAAAGCCAGCCAATTCACCGTCTTCATCAAGCTCCTAACCACAACCCAAGTGGGTTCACAAATCAAAGGCCAACTCAACAATTCCAACGACGGCATGACCGTCTTCGCCCCGCCCGACAACGCCTTCTCGAGCCTCCCCGCCGGCACTCTGAACTCCCTCACCGACGAACAAAAAGTCGAGCTAGTCCAGTTCCACGTCATCCCTTCATTTTTCTCAATCTCACAATTCCAAACGGTTAGTAATCCGGTGAGGACTCAGGCCGGAGACACCCGGAACGGCAAGTTTCCGCTCAACGTCACCACCTCCGGCAACCAAGTCAACGTATCGACCGGCATTGTCAATACGACGGTGGATAATACCATATATAGTGATAACCAGCTCGCTGTCTATCAGGTCGATAAGGTTTTGCTTCCACTCAGCATCTTTGGGAGTCCTTCTCCGGCGACGGCGCCTGCGCCGGCAGCGGAGAAGAACAAGAAAGCCACGGCGGCAGATGGGGGTGGGACGAACTCCGATGGTGGGGATGCTTCTGGTGGAGGTTGTCTCTCCTCCTACTCTGTGCATGCGATGGTGGTGTTGTGCTCTGTGATTGGTGGATTTGTTTTGTTACGATGAACGGTTGTGATTAAGCCAACTGGATGAAATTTGTGGGGTCTATTTGTTTGGTGGACGTTTGATTTGGATGAGTCAGATTGAACGGTGGTGATGGGGATAAGAGGCTTTTCTATTGACTCTGTAGTTTTCTATCTATTGTTTTGTTTCCTTTTTTTCTTTTTATTTACTTATGTTGTTTTTGCAGATTCCATGTAATTCAGATTTTGTATTATTTTTGCGAAAAAAATTCAAAAAAAAAATGCTATATTTTGTCATTATCCCAAAATATATAGATTCATATAAAATATTTTTTCACTGCAAGTAATTTTAAAAATACAAATGAGAAGCCATTCTCCTAAATTTTGAATCATATCATTTCTCACATTTTTTACACGTTTTCAAAAAAATAAAATAAAAAACAATTAAAAAAATCAATTTTTAACCATTTTTCTAAAACAATCCTAAATCAATAATTGATAACAAAATAGGGACAAAGTATAAGCCCACATGTGGGTTCCACCCACCCCTTATTTTTATTTTGTGATCTACATTATGTATTATAATTTTGTGCAGATGATATAATTGTTATTTAAAAATTTCCCAAGAATAAAATAAAAATATTCCACATCTTCTCTTCAGTATATTCAATCATATTTATATGCTAACTCGGATTAAGAGGCCGGTTTCAACTAAATTCGATATATTTTGAAGGAAAAAGTTAGAGATCATGAAAATTTTGTCATGAAAATGATCATGAAAAATTTATGATCCTTGGATTACCTTGATTAGTGTGTGGTGTTTCATTCTAAATGTAATCCAAGGGTCACGAAACTTTCATGATTATTTTCATGAAAGGTTTTTCATGATACCTAGCATTGCTGTATTTTGAAATGAACTTATACATATTCATAATTCAATTGAATTTGCTTGAGTTGCAGCCCTACACACTGTTTTTTGAGGATATCAGGAGATTTCTAAATTTATAAGGAGTAGGTTGATCCAAAAAAAATATTTTCCACCCAAAGCCACCTTTCGAAAAGTAGCATCGTGTACTTGAAGCAAATTTAGGATGTAGCTATGGCTAATTGCTTGTTGGTGGAGTGCTTTAGAAGGCCCTAAAGCGACTTCAACTAATTGATGTTTTACACCCCAAGCCATTTTTTTCTTTTACAGAAAAAAATTTTATTGATGAAAATTTACGTGAAGCCATATGAAAATATATCAATAAAGAAGATGCATGTAAAATAAACAAAATAAAGCTAAATAATTCTAATTAGATTGACACCAAAAAGCATGTTCAACCATTTGCTAACATACCACCGAAGGGTGGTGAAAATACACCTCAAGCCATTAAAAGGTAAATTGGTTTTTGATTGTCATTATTCCTTTGAGAGTTACCTAATCTAATAACAAAAATGTTTAAGAGCATTAAAAGTAGAGCTCTAATGAGAGCTCTACTTATGAAGCAGTGGGCTTACTCATGAATGATTTGATGTACGTATTTTTGTTTTTCTCCATGCCACATCATTAGAGCCATTGGTAGTACTCTAAATTTAGAGTTATGAATCGTTGTTGATCTAATAAAGTGTTTCATTTATTTATTATTATTTTTATTTTTATTACGCCTGTTCAAAACAATAGTTCAAATTTTTAGTTTATTTGAACATGATATTCCCAGTATAGGGACTATTGAATTATAAAAAAAAGAGTGTGATACAAAATGAGAGATTAATGAGAGATTTGAACTAATTGGTTAAGCTATAAAATTGATAGAATTTTCTCAATTATATGTTATAATTCTAGGTCATGTAAACATAAATTTCAGAACATGAAATTTCATGTTTCGGATCATCTACCATGTATATCATCAAGAAATCAAGACAAAATGACATACCTGAATCCATTGATGAACGGTTAAACGGAAGCGTCTGATTGTCAATAAAACCTTTGATATTGACTTTATTAGAGCCTTCTAATCCTTTCCCTTTGGTGCCTTATGTTTCTCCTTGAGAGGATTTAGAAAAACAAACAGTGTTATTATCTTTCCACCTTAGGAAGGAATATGGACCATAACCTTTTAAATGTTGTAATTGGTTTTCATAACTGAAAGGTAATGAAAACCAATAAATTAACCATTATTGGTTTTAAAACTGAAGGTAATGAAAATCAATAAATTAACCATTATTGGTTTTAAAACTGAAAGGTAATGAAAACCAACTTTAACCAATATGTTTTAATTTCTATTTCTGCACCTCATAGAAATAGAAATTATACAACTAGTATCTACACATTAGGTCCATAACACATATACCCTTAAGCCTATTAACTAAATTGAACCACTTAAATTGTAGGCTTCTTATAAATAATAACACCACATTTAATTATGTGGGCCCATTGAGACATTATCTAACAATAATATCTTATGGATCTTATTATTTTAGATATTTGATCCACCAAATCTTAATTTTCATATTTAAGGTATTTTATAGATAATTTTACCCTTACAATTATTTTTTTAACCATCAGTAACTTAGTAATGTGAACATTCACATTAAATGAATTTGACAGTGTGAACATTAACGCTATCAATGTGAACATTAATGTGCGCTTTACTCTATTATTATTAGATATATTTTGGTAATCATGTCACCTATAAAACTTATTGAAATATAAAAAAAATAATAATAATAATTTAGACTAAGTGAAACATAACTATGTGAAGACGGATTTATGAATAAATACCCCAAAAATAAATAGTTTATTTTTTAAAATATATATATATATATATATTTTTTGAAGAAAAAATGATAAACTAAAAAGTAAGGATTATTGGATTGATCTAATTTTTTTTTGTTAATAATATATACAAAGAGCCTTACAAAATGAACAGTTTGAATTATCAAAACAACACTCGTTACAATCCCCATGAACCTAAACATGTTGATCAAGTTTATGTTTGAACTTGAGAAAAACCTAATACTTAAATATTTCTTTTTCTTACCACTCTTCATTTTTAATCAGCCACACAAAGTGATGAGAGATTTCTTTTATCCCATTTTTTTTTTT